TGAAGTTCGGTCCATTTACCTGTATTAGCTTACTGGCACATATTCCACATTCAATATGGCGGACGCTGTGACGTATCGCAGCAGTGGGCCGGCCCGCTCCATGACCTCTGACCCGCTCCATGAGGGGTCTAGGTGATCATGTATATGCATCATTGCCCTGCGGGACTGGTTGCCTCTCCTCCAACTATGGACTTGCGGCCAGCAGAACACCTGTTGTTCTTGAAGCCTGGATTCAGATCATCTCCGGAGGTTCCCTTTTATAACCTTTTCTAAATTCCTATATATAATCCTAATTCCTTCAAAAATGTAACTGCTTTATTTATTTTATTATGTTTAATATCTTATTTGGTTTTAATGTCTCCATTGATGGAGTTCATTCATTTCTGTCTCTGTGCTCCACCAGGTCCATTAGTTCCAGAACCCGACCAGAACCCCTCAGTGTAAATTACCTTGAGAAATAATGAGATCTGGGTATATATGAAAAAAGGCTTTAATGCAAAAAATGATCAAACGTTAGAAGCCAAACATGTCATCCAGATGGACCAGAACCAGAGTTACATTCACCGTCCAGCGCTGGTCCACTGAGCTCCTTGTGGATGGAACCAGGTGAGGCAAAGACTGTAGAGTTTAGCTTTTATTCTCCTCTGCAGCCTGTTCCCTAAAGGGAAGTTAACCAGAGTCAGTCTGTTTACGTATAAACATGGTTATGTAAGCTGCTGCTGTGTGTGTGTGTGTGTGTGTGTGTGTGTGTGTGTGTGTGTAAGCAGATAAAAGGCCAAAAGAGAGAGGAAAAGACAGAACACTATTGTATTTCCTAATTTCTTGTTTTAGCTCTTCTCTACTTGCTCTATATTTTTCACAATGAATTATCACACGTTCTACTGTCTCCATATCCAGACCTCACTCACCTCTACCCCTCTGGTCCTGCGCCGCCTCCAGGGTCCCAGCAGATTGAGAAACGAGGGGAGAAAAGTGGAACGGATGGACCTGATGGAGCCGGTGGGTTCAGGGAATCACGCAGAATAAATGATCAGAACTTCAGAGCGGGTTCTGACCCAGATGGGAAGTGATTCTTCTCTGGCTTGGTTTGGGATCCAGAGATTTCTGAAGAGATTCTTTTCCTCCAACAGCAGACGGTCATCTGCTGCCTGAGCCGATCAGTCTGGTCCAACAGGAGGTCAGAGGTCAGCGCTGCTCTGACCTGCGGCTTCACTTCGTCATCAATCTGCTGAATCCAACAGCTCCTGCAGTGTAAATACAAAATTAATTGAAAATAGTACATATTTAATCAGTTTTCTTTTAGTAAGTTACATTTCTCTGGATTCATTTAGATGTTTTTGATAATTGTGCTTTTGTTCTGTTAAATACTTTGACTCAATAATGCATCCAAGTACAAAAGTGTTACTTTAGGTTTTTCTTTTCTGCAGCCAGGGTTATATAGATTTTGTATAAATTATGCATTTCAAATATTTGCTTTTTTATTTCTGTGAAGTGGGAGAGAGAAACAATGGAGAAAGTAACTGCCAACATTTCAACTTTTTAACTTTTTGTGTTGCGACACCATTTGGTTATGTTCTGTGTCTTTGTTTATTTTTGTTCATTCTCTGATCAAATTGATTATTTGTTGTTTTGGAGATAAATGTTTGTTCTGTAATGTCATACACACTAATTGGTGAATAAATTTAAAAAATTAAACCTGCTAATTTGGTAACATACATCAATGAACAAATAAATCCTCAATAATTACACTAAAAATAACAAACAGAAAAAACCCTAAATAAATAATGATGGCACAAAGTAAAAGATATTTCAGGATCCCATGATGAATTATTGAATCATAACAGATTCAAACGTTTCCATCTCAGGTTGTAGTTTTGTCCTTTATGCAGAGCTCTTTAATTGTGAGCTCACATCGAGGTGACGTCATCCAGGCTGCTGCTCTTCAACATATTTCTGGTTAAAACGTCACTAAAACACGCCTGGATCAACCAGACCGGGCGTTTCCGGGTTGAAGCCTCACAGAGAAACTATTTCAGGCCTGAACCGGTTTTACAGCCTGAACCTGTTCAGCTGCTGAAGCCCCGCCCCCTTCCCGACTCACCTGAGATGAACCAGGAAGTGGTCTGAGAGAGAAATCAGAATCGGCTCAGTCTTCTTCTGGAGGAATCCGTCTGCAGAAAGCTTCAGGATTCAAAGGTAGGCAACAGCTGCGGCACATTTATGATTTATTCACACTCGTTTCTGTTTAAAAGCAAAATCTGAACCTAAATATCTGAAAAAGCTTTGGCACAGGAACGATCCCATCTTTATTTGCAGATGAAATAAAACTTTAACAGAAAAATATCTGAAACATCAGAAACTGAAATGGTAAAAATATCACAAGAATAACAACTTCACATGAGGTTTTTATTTATTTAACATCTTTGTGAGAACATTTCGGAATATTTCCGGATGTCTGGACCTGAAATCCAACAGAAAATGAGGAAGAAAATATAAAATTAGAAACAAAGCTGCCAATCCATAATTTCCACTTTTCACATTCTGTCCGGAGTTTTCTTTGATTAAAAATGTTCGTTCGGGTTCCACCGTATTTTCTGGCGACCAATAGGAAGACTCTAATGTGACGTCACGTCCGGTCCGAGCTGCGGCCTGGTTTCTGCTTCTCATCCGGAACAGGAAGCTCATGTTTACAAGATACAAAAAATGTCGTTTGGTCTCCTGACGTTATTCAGTCTCTACTCCAAAAAGTTTTCTTTTCTTTTCAAGAATTCAAAGAGATTAATAAGATACAGGAAACTACAAATTATCTGAGGCGCCGTTTGTAAAATTAGACAATAAAAAATTAACAGCAATAATTTATTTTATTTAGCTTGTCTTAAAAATGGATGTTCATGTCTTGAAGTCGTGTTTTCACCAAGTTATTTCTACATTTAGAAATGTCAAACTTCCAAGCTAAATATTTAGTTTCTGATTTTGAACTTAAATAAATAGACTGTAAAGATCAGAAATATTAGTTTGTTAGATTTCTGCAATACATGATGTTAATCAGAGCATAGTCACTGTTTACATTATTATGGCTTTAATGATGAAGAAAATGGTCACTTCATTTGAAAATTAGCCACAGCTAATCTCTTCTGGAGGCGGGTCTGCAGTGGACAAAACTAATAAAACATTTAAGAAGTCAGAGTGGAGACTGACTGACTTTCTGTTTCCAGATTCACTCAGAGACAAAATGGCTTCCAGATCAGAGGATCTCTGCTCTCTGCACTCTGAGAAACTCAAACTCTTCTGTCTGGACCATCAGCAGCCAGTTTGTCTCGTCTGCAGAGATTCAGAAAAACACTCCAAGCACAGATTCAGGCCCATCGATGAAGCTGCTCAGCAACACAGAGAGAAACTGAAAACATCTCTGGAGCCTTTAAAGAAGAACCTGGAGATGAAGAAGGAAGTTAAAGAGGAGTTTGATCAGACAGCAGAACACCTGAAGGTCCAGGCCCGACACACAGAGAGGCAGATTGTTGAGCAGTTTAAGAAGCTTCATCAGTTTCTGACAGAGGAAGAGGAGGCCAGGCTGGCTGCACTGAGGGAGGAAGAGGAGCAGAAGAGAGGGATGATGAAGGAGAAGATGGAGGCTCTGAGCAGAGAGATAGCAGCTCTTTCAGACACAGTCAGAGCCACAGAGGAGGAGCTGAGAGCTGCAGACGTCTCATTCCTGCACAACTACAAGGCTGCAGTGGAAAGAGTCCAGCGCTGCCCCCTGCTGGAGGATCCACAGCTGCCCTCAGGAGCTCTGATAGACCAGGCCAAACATCTGGGCAACCTGGCCTTCAACATCTGGAGCAACATGAAGGGCATGGTGACCTACACTCCTCTGGTTCTGGACCCAAACACGGCAAATCCAGAACTCATCCTGTCTGACGATCTGACCAGTTTGATGTTTGCAGAGCAGCAGCAGCTTCCTGATAATCCAGAGCGGTTGGATAAATGCCGTTTGGTTCTGAGTTCAGAAGGTTTCAGCTCAGGGATCCACAGCTGGGGCGTCGATGTCGGAGTCGGTGGGACCTGGAGACTCGGTGTGTTATCAGAGTCTGGAGGGAGGAAGAACTACATCACCTCTGCTTTATGGGAGATCTGGTTTAGTGAAGGGAAACATTACAGCTGGTCTCCAGGAGTTCCTCTTACTGTTCTCCCAGAGCAGAAGAAGATCCAGAGGATCCAAGTGGATCTGGACTGGGACGGAGGGAATCTGTCCTTCTCTGATCTGGATACTAACACACACATACACACCTTCACACACACCTTCAGTGACAGGATGTTTCCTCACTTTGGCACTGAGAATAAAATGCAGATTTTACCTGTGAAGTTCTCAGTAACAGGAGCAAAGCAACCAAAGTGACCTCTGACCTCTGACCTGAGCCTCCAGAGCCACATAAAGCCGGTTCCTCAGTGGACCTTCAGCAGCTGCAGGACATTCAGGCCCAGAGGACGAAAGTCTCCGACCAGAGAAACTCATCCAGGATTTAGTGGCTCTGATTCCTGCAGCAGGTCAGACTGAGACCAGAAGCTGCAGCTGGAGATCTGACTAGAACCAGGAGGACGGAGCACTGCTTGGTTACCTTTGATTCAGGATAACTGGAGCATTTATTAATATTATTAACGATGATTATTGTTGATGATGTGGTAGGGTTAGGGTTGTAAATGTTTGGTGGCTGTTGCTTTACTACTGATACTAGTTCTCATCAATATTAAGGAATGATTGGCTTAAAACAAGCTTCTATGTTTAAGTAAGTTAGTTTTGTCATATTTTCCATGTATTAAAATATCTGCATTAGAAACTGGACCAAAATACTTGGTAAAGTTTTGTTTTTTAGTGCAATAAAACTGGTTATGTCTGATGTTTTTATCATATGAAGCACTTTGAAACGCCTCGTTTCTGAAACTTGCTAAGTTATACACACACACACACACCAGTGTTTGGATCGGTCCGGTTCCGTCTGGACCCAGCTGGTTCCGGCCTGCGGCCTCCCATTCTTCCCGTTTGTCCCCGGAATAAAGGCGGGAGGCGGCGGGGTAATAACCGGACGAATTAAATTGGTTTCCATTGACACCTGCTGCCTCATCAGGCGGAGAGCCGCTGATGCTGCGGAGCTCAATAAGCCGCAGCAGAGCAACAGCTTCCCGCGTCCCGTTCCCGCCCTGGAGCCGCCTGATGGCGTCGATAACCGTCCGGGTCTTTTCTCCTCTCCTAATTGCCTCGCCACCGTGTCGGCCTTATCTCAAATGAAAGGTTCAAACACTGAAATATTTGTCATCACATTTTTCTGTGAGAAACCAGAGATAAGAGGCAGCAGGAGCAGCTGATCAGCACTTTAACTGTCCGAAGCGCAGCGCTGACAAACAGCCGGAAGTTTCTCTGAACCGACCAACTGGGAGGAGAACAGATTCCCAGTCCGGTTGTTCTGGGTCCACTGGAACCAGCCAAGGAGACGGAAAAGTCTCCTTTTCACTAAAACTCAACTTGTTCACAGAAATGAACAGGAAGTAGATTTTTCTCTCACCGTTGGATGGATATGAAAATCCAGTTAGTCTGACTTAACGATAAATTTCCGTTTTCCTGTGAAGGAAGCGGATCGGAGGTTCTGGAGGATCAGGCAGATCCATGTCCACATAAATATATTTCTATCTGAATTCGTGCAGTGGGTGAAGTGAGGCCTAATGAGGTCTCTGACATTCAGTCCAGACCAGGAATACTTTCTAATAAATACGGACAAATTTCTGCTGGATTCCTGGATTTTTATGCTAATAATCAATCCTTTGTTTGCATTTCCTGCATTATTTAAGTGTTTTCAGACTTTTTGTAATGTCTGAATTTCGGGCGAGGTTCTGGAGGCGAGTCCAGTTCTGTGGTTCCGGTGTGTTGGACCAGGTTCGTCCTGATGTGAGTTTTTCCAGCTGTTCGTCATCATCGCGTTGGAGGAAAAACGCGGCTCTTTGGGCCGGAATGGAGTCGCTCATACCTGTAACTTCTTCTAGAAATCAGAGTCTGGTCCAAAGACATCGGGCCGATTGTTCAGCTAAGAGGCTGAGAGGAAAACATGTAGAAAAAATAACAAATGTTTTTATTTCATGTTAATACATTCTTAGACAACACCACAGAATAGTTGCATGAGTGGCCAAATGTAAATCTCTCCCACAACATTGGCACAGAAGCAGCAAGGGCAACAGGAAAATACCAAGTACAAACAGTAGAAAACATACATGCTTTCTTTTTAAATATATATACTCAACTTCCTCTGTTTCCCAGAGCTTCTCTGGGCAAATCCAAGTTCTGCAGAAAGTATCGGAGGAACCAACAGTGAAGAACAGGAACCAAAGAAAAGAACGTCACATTTCAGAGCAGACGTGTGGAATCAGCTGTGCTTCGACAATTTCATTATTTTCAACTTTTTTTCTGATTCAGTTTCAACATCGAACATATCAGGCATGCATCGACAATCTCCACAGCAGCAATCCATGAAATCACCGGGTTCTTCAGGGACGGTGGGACAAACGGACGCTCCCTCTGCAGAAACACCCCGAGGGAGTCGCTGTGACAGAAAACCTTCCTTAAACTCTGATAAAACCTTAAATCAGTTTGGCTTAGTGCCAACAACCAGCTGACAGATTTCTAACCAACCAGGATCTGAAAACAACAAAAGTATAAAGAGAACATTTCTGATTTTCAAACCACTGGGAAACGTCCACCGATCATCTCGATCCCAGAAAGCAGCAACACTTTAGAAATGATCGGGGATTGGCTGAGAAAGCAGGCGGTCGTCTTCTGGGTAGCTGCTGGTTACCAAACCAACCCGGGTTTCCTGATCCGGACGGGTTCTGGTGAAACGTGCCAGAACCTGCGTGAAGAAGAGCCAAGCTTTCAGACCGGACAGGAAAGTGAAAACCTCTAAACCAGTCATGGATCGGCTAAAGACAAGTCCACCTCGCTGCAGCAAACAGGAAGGGGCGGGACGGACCACTGTCAGTCTCAGACCTTATTTGGAAATGGGACCATTCCAATCCGGAAGTGAAGGGGGCGCTATTTCCTATACTTCCGTTTTTATTTTCTTTTGAAATCTGTGATTATTTTCACCTTTAGGAAGGAGTTTCACTCTCAGAATGTATTTGAACTTCTCTCTTTTATTTACTTAAGCACAGCTCACAGTTTTGAGCAAATTCTGTAGCTTTCGGTGTACTTCTAAATCTGCTCCTTAGTTGCATGTTTTCGGGCCTGCTACTGCCTCTAGTGGCGTGGAGGTGGTAACACAACTAATCTAATTACATTACTGAATCAGAATACCAAAGTCTTTATTATTTAATATTAATTCTGGCATTATAAAACAACATATTTTTTCATTTTCTTAAGGATGTAGAGCTAATTAAACAACAAACAATACTTTCATACATTACAAATAATATCTATGTATCTCCATCAATTATAGGAGGAACAAAAGAAATAAGGAGACATGAAAAACAACATGATCAACTATAATAAAAATACCATTTGCAATGTATATGCAAGAAATTTAATTGAGCAAAAGTCAATAAACAAATGAATTAGGTACAGAAGAATAAGAACCCAGTTTGTTACAACCAGGGTTGTTAAACAGATATAAGCAAAATTCACATTTTTGTTTTTATAGTGTCATGTATATTATTGAGACTTTTTGTTGTAGTCTTGAAACAATTTAATCTATCAAGGAAATTTTCCTTTGACTCAAAAACGATAAATCATATTCATGAATCACATTATTACATGTGTTAAGTTTTAACATTTTAACTCAACAACCTCAAGTCGGGTAACCCCAAGTCTTCTTAAAAGGTAGAGTCTCTGAGAACGGTTCTTAAAAATATAGTCAGTGTTTTCAGCAAAGTTGAGCTGACTGTCCAGGAACGATTTGAGGTATTTCAAATTTGCCACCGTTTCAACAGGTTGGCCATCAAGTGAAACTGGAATCACTTTCAGTTTTTGTTTATTTTTTGTTTATCTCATTT